TATCTTACCTTCTCCACAGAGTACGTCACTTCCTCTTTATAAGATCTTGATATTCCAACCCCTTAGAGCACCACAGAATTTTAGAGCAAATTGTGATGCTGACTGGATAACAATTCTCACACCTGGGCTTTCCATGGCCTCTCATTGGTCTTTTTGTTTCCTCTTTTCTACCAAAGTCTTCACATTTCTACATCTCCCTTTCTCATGTTCTGTCCTGTTTCCCTGTCTTCCTCTTATATTCTAACCTGTAACAATTGTGGCTCTCTTTAGGAACTAAGAACAAGATGCTACAAGAACATCAGATGACCAGAGTCTCTCCAACTTAGATCTGTGCGAAAAAAACCTCCTGGGCTTAAATTCTTTCCTAAGGTTAGGTCTTCATGGGTATCCTTCTTCCTTCTCCTGATCCTACAACCTTACATCAAACCATCTACACATATTTTAGGCAACTAGCATGTGCCAGAGGACTGAGAACAGACAGGGAGTGGTGTAAAGACAAATGTCTGCACTGAATTAGCTCCAGTGTTCAACTCCATCCTAAACTCAGACTCCTTAGGACACTATCAGGATAAGGATAAGGCTCAATGCAATAAATAATACAATTCATATTCCCCAGGTGCTCACACAGACATTAAACCAACACTTTTATTCTGAATCTTTGCTTCAAACAAAGTCAAAAACATGTTCGCCAGAACGATTCCACTAATCCACACACTTTTGCAGGCACGAACTAAGTCAAACTAAGTATAAAGAAACTAAAGCAATAATGAGAAAATCTACAGACTCTTTAGTATGTTCAGCTGCCTGGAACAAAGTTGTTTGTCTTACAAACTTTTATGGCTCAAAAATTCCAGTTTTAACCTGAAGTCCTCTCTTCCAAACTCAGTTCGTAGACCAAATGCCTTAAGTCCCTCTTGGTTAAATATATGCATAGTTCAATCAGAGGCAAGGAAAAATCAGTATGTTTCATTAGATATATCTAGCTAATAACTGTGACATCTCTGTTGCTCCTCAGAATCCAGAGCCACATCAAAATATAAAAGTTTTGAAGGCTATGAGAATCTTCACTAAAAGTTATCATTTCAATCTTAGAAATAGAAGATTTTAATATAAACTGGTCCTCAAGATGGAAAGCTATTTCCCCACTCATACTTCTAATTATTCTCCATTTATATTAAATCTAAATCTCACCTATCAGAAATTTGAAGTGTGACCCATGTAGCCTGTATTGAAAAAATCACGTATATGCCAAATCGCTGAATCTTCAAACCTGATCTTTAATAGTATAAAGAGCATGAATAGTAAAACGCCTTAATCTAAGTTAAAAGTATAAATACCTTTTATTTAAGTTTATGCTACATAATAAAGTAAAGGATGCTAGAAGCAAAAATGTGTAAGTCACTAACTGCTATGAAAAGAAAGGGTAATTAAACAAATTCTTTTTTAGTGACAATGTCAAATCTGGATAAATTCATTCAAACATAATCTTGGTGCTCATGAATGAAGGTACGAACCAAAATGTATAACCAGAGTCCCATTTCAAATTAATGAAGACTGAATGCTGACTCAACCACTTTCTATCCATATGCCCAACAACAAATGAACTAAGACTCTGGGCCTTGGTCCCTACAACTATAAAATAGGAATGATTCCCACCTAAAATGTATAGAATTGACATAAGAGTTATGTAATACAATTCTTGAAAGGACTTACCATGATTCCTGAAACACAGGAGAGGAGTAAATGTTTACTTCACTTAAATCTTATGCTGAGTGGAGGGTCTAACTTCAGAGAGGACTAAAGGACCTCCACTCAGAGCTCCTGTGAGGGCAGAATCTCATGAACCTGAACCTTGTTCTCGGGCATTTCCACTATTTTCCTCATAAACTTGTGCTCAACTGGGACAAATCTACACTGTCATCATTAGATGTCAAACATCAGTGGTCTGGGGTAGGTTGGCTAACAATGAAACTATGTGAGAATCTGATTCAAAAACACTACAAGTCCCCTGACTCTGAAAAAAGTTACAGGTACAAAAGGAGCATGTAACATGGCCCAGGAGTTCACGAATCCTGTGAGGTCCGTATTTGAAACTAAGGAAATAAACTTACCCTACAATGTACCTATGCCTTAACACTATGCCCTGGGCAGCCTACACGCTGTCATTAGAAGGCCTCTGGGCTCAGAAACACATCGATTTACCTGTCGTGAGGTTCAGTGTGGTTGCTGATGTTGTAGGAGTGGAGGTAGAGATGTTAGGTGATATTGGAACATTAGTGACCTCAGATGGAGCTAGAATCAACAGAAAAGCAAGGATTAATCAAGCAGCAGAAAACCAGGTCTTTGTGCTGGGCCTGTAAATGAACTCAACCAATGAGACCAACCCTAGGGAGAATGAGGCTCTAATCTCCCTTTCTTGCCCGTGCCCCTTCTGTTGCCCTATTCCTCTTCGAACTCGAACCCAGAGTTCTTGTCCTTGGTTAGCAGGAGTCTGACAGGGTTGGGCTTCAGGACAAGCTTGCTAAAAATAAACAGCTGCACTGAAACATATATATTCCAGGAGAGTCAGAGTTTTAAAACAAAAGG